TTAGAAGGAAATGTGCGAACCCACTTTCACTCAAAAGTGCTTGCCCAAAGTTTGTCAACGAGCGAAAGGATAGAAAAGCATTGATATTTGCCTTCCAAGCTTGTCGCGAATATAGAGGATATTACATGGCCGCGCTGGGATACAGGTTTTATCTTCGAGTGCTGAAAGCATCTCTCACAAGTGAGCGAAGCTCACTCGTGCCGTGAGAGATACTTTCAGCACGAGAAGATAAAATTCGTATCCCCAAGCGGCCATGTAATGTTCTGTTTATTTTATAGATACTGATGAAATTCCTACATAAAACACAACTTTTTTTATTATTATTAATTTTGAAAACAGCATAATAGTGCAATTAAAACGGTCACCCATCGCAAAATGCCTGTCTCAAAAATGCTACATAACTCGGATATAAAGTTATAAAGGAGAAATAAAGACAATAATACTTATCTGTTCCAAAAAGTCAAAATTCTAATGAAGAAGAGAAAAATTCTACGACAGCAAAAGCGTATCTTAAAATAGCATCATGTTGTGGATTCTTGGCTACTATCTGATAATGCTTCGGGTCAACTTCTGGACTCTTTACTTCATTTTTTGCGGGAGCTAAGTTAATGTTGAAGACGCCTCCAGTAACGTAATTTCCGTGAAACATCGTTTGAAGCCTATTCTTATTGAAGGAATTCACATCCAAAGTAGATGAAGTGGTAGACGTTGAAGCGATTCGATACTCAGCCAGGGGTTGCGCTGTCATGTTGTTTTCGGTTTGTGCAATGGCGACGTTGGTAGCGGCTTTAGTTGTCGAGGAAAGATTACGTGAAATACTTTCCACTTGCTTTTCTCACAGAGAATTGTAATTGTTAACTGACTGTAAGGTTTTATGCCCCGTTATTTGAATTATCTGGTTGGGAGGAACTCCACTGTGCTGCAGTTTTTGCACTAAAGTTTTTCTACCACCGTAGTTTGTTTTGCCTGAAATTTACCGCCGCTTGTGTCACTTCTTTCATGATATTGCAGGTAACTTGTTCACTCCCATTGGTTGTGCTTTGAACCAGTTTTTGCCTTCCACTGATGCATGAGTTTCTCAGTTTTAAAGTAATTTACAGACAAATAGAAACTTGAATCCGGTTCTAGCATGGATGATGGTCGTTTTTCTTTGTACATCTTGTAAACGTGCACCGAATCACGATCGATAGAAATGGCATCGTTGTTGGCATACATTCGCGGCTTGATCGGCCGTTGATTCCGTGGATCGTCTCCCGTTCGAGTCTTTGTTTGGCGGCACTCGAGATATTCTTTACCATCACTGTCAGTTTTTAAAACGATGTCTCCCCAGCGGAGTTCTTTTTGTTCGATCCTTACATCCGCGAAGGCCAAAGTGAATGATGTTGTTTAGCCACACAGTATTTAACGGAGCTTGCAGTGAACTTGATCCAAGCAACTTTTTTCCAAAAAGAATCTCAATTTCGTCGTCCGTAAGAACCATTGTGGCTTTTGGTCTGTTTCTGAGTCCATGTCGCTTGAGTTGCTTTTGTTTCGCTTTCAACGCGTCTCTTTTTTTTTTGAAATCAGTATCTTTGAAGATAGTTACGTAACTGGAGCGACTCAAATGGCGTTCAACACTAGCTAACTAGCCAAAATTCCGCGGAGAGATGACGGTTCAAAATCTTTTCCAGTCTTGGTCCTTGCAGCTAAAACAAACTGGCTCAAGTAGCTGTCTAATTCAGTTGGAGGAATCTTCTCTATTTCTCTGATTTCTTGGCGCTCTTCTACCAGAAACTTTTTGACTAATTTTAAGTCCTAGAAGGTCTCTTTTTTAGTGTTTACATTTTCTTCCTCCTCAATGAATTTTTCAACATCACTTTCCGACACTTCGGAAAATCTTCCTGAATGTTCTTCAAGCTCGGAAAAAGTATCGATGTGAAAATTTGGCCACTCATCGAGAAAGTCACCGGTAACTGTCGTCTTCGCACCTCGAAGTCATTTTGTGATTGAAATTTCAAAAGAACAGGCCGCGCGCCTGAGAGGGAAGCTCTCTTGTAATTGGCTAATCATTTTAGTAACCATGGCGACACCAATATACTCACACGTGAAAGATAAAAATTACATAATAAAAATGATTATTGCAGTGCGTCTGATGAGTTCCGTTTGTTTCGCGCACCGTTACCACTGGAAGGGGGAAGGGGGGAGGGTATTTCCTGGTTGTAGGCTAATCGGTATGTGCCGCTGAATGGGGTCGCATTTTCACGATATGGGGTTGCATTTTTATAAGAGTTGCTAGAATGGAGTCGTACATGTTCAGGATTTTGGGGTCACAAACTTCAGGTATGTGTAGTATCGGCATTTAAAAATAGAAAAATTTACACCGTATTAAGTTTAACAAATGTGTTAGTTCATTTCGGGATGCTGACCTATTGTAGTTAGGGACCAGTCATAATTTTAGTTGGAGTGGGGGGGTGGAGGAGAAATTGGGGGGCCTTCAGTTATTTTTGGATAGAATATTGGGGGCCTTAAAATGCCAAAAGATGACCTTGGGGGGGTCTTCAAGTTTCTTTTAAGTAGCATCCCTACTGAGCAGCATGATGCTTAAGTATTAAAGGACCTGATTGTGATTCAGGTTTACACAAAGTCCTATATTGTGTAATACTAAAACAATTTAATCAGCATTTTGACAAAAAAATTTAATGCTCAAATAGTAGGTGCATCAACACAACATTCATTATTGTGTAACACTGAAACAATTTCATTGGCATTTTAACAAATGATTACATGCATAAAGTCATGTTATGCAATCTCACTATCCGATTCATTATTTGTAGATGAGGTTGATGTGGACTCACTGTCTGTGTCACCGTCAAGTTTTTTGGTATTAGAGCATGTACTGCTCATATAAAAAGCAGTAAGCTTTGGCTAATTATCTTCTTTCTTCCTTGAAGCGGTCCTGCCGGCCTCTAACCTTTCGATGGCTTGTCTTATCTCAATTATAACACAATCACTGTTATATTTTTGCTCTATAAGCTGTTTGAGAGGCTCTAGGTGAAATTTATTTCTCAGTTTAGTGTGAAGTGCTTCTCTGTTGTTAGTTGGCACATTCCGAAGTGACAGTGAGTAAGAACGGTAAGGTAAAGAAAATGTCATTTGTTATTACCATTTGGGTATTATGTAAGAAAGGGGGGTCCTTAAATCTTTTAACATGATTGAAGGGGGGTGCCTAAAAACATGGGTGCTATTTGTAGGGGTCTGGAAATAATTTGGGATAAAAAACACTTTCTCCTCCACCGTCTCCCCCCAACTTAAATTATGACTGGTCCCTTAACAGGCTTTAAAAAGTAGATGCATAAACAGAAAGTGACTAAGTTGTCATTACAAAATTTACTTTTTGCTAAAAGTGACTAAGGTGGGGTTTATAATATGGCCACAGAATAGGCTATAATGGGGTAGGGGTTCTGAGAGGCCAGCGGCACATACCCCGCAAAAAATATATCAAGTAACGCCCCCCCGGGGGACCGGTGCGTGTGGTAAGTTCCGTTTGTGGCCCACACCCCTACTACACACGGGGAGAAATTTTCAGTTTTTGTTTAAAGAAAAGACCTTAACATTCCTGATCCGAAAGACCGTTTCGTAGTAGTCCAGTTCTACCCATTGTATAGTTTTTGAAAGAATACAGGAAATCAAGCTTTAAAAGAAACTTTAATATTGAATAACAGGTTACATATAAGTGTATATTTACAATACAACTGAGTACATTGTTGCACTCCTTTGGTCTTTAAAGGAAGACAGCAATTAAATATAGCATGTAAGCGATATTTACAGAACATTTTAAAGCTTATCTTCGCTATTCTACTCGGGCTTATTCGTTAAGTTTTCAGAGAAATATTCGAAATGATTCCATATCGACACGAATAAAATAATCAACACTAAACGTTAAAGGGGCTTTCTCTCAAGGATATTGCTGTTTTAGGTCAATTCTGTGCGGAAGTCAATACTTTTCCCATACACAAAAAGCTCTGTAGAGCCGGTTATGAAGAAGATGTCAATCAAATTTCATCATCACGAAGCACAAATCATTCCATGTTCATTCTTGCCATTCGTTGCAACAGACAACAGGAAACAAATATAGTATAGAAAAGAGTTTTAGACAGCAAAGGTTGTGGCATAACTCCTTTTAAATGGGATCGGGAAAGTCTTTGGTCTACTAAAAATGGGAGTCTGATTTTTAAGTTTCTACCATTGTTTCTATTCTCCTTAATTAAGCTTTATAATTCTTCAAATCGGCCATGATTCGATGATACGTATTTTAAATAAAATATGATTTTGAGCCCCATATTTCCTTTAAAAATAATGCCTAATTTTTTCAAAGGATTTATCAGCGAGAAATCACATAAAACTTGTTTTGGGGGGCGGATGAAAAAATTTGTTGACACTTACGTAAACTATACATAAAATTTAGTTGAGAATCGGTGTATGACGTGATAAACATGAATGAGTACAATCAAAAGTATATAACTAGTGAGCTTTACTATAGATTTGTAGGTGGTTGCTTTTAGCATAGTTAAGTAAAATATGAAGTATGCTTATCATTGTATTCAAAAGATTCAGACCCCACCCCCCCCCCCCGACCCCTTCCAAGTAAAACTTGGGCAAACATTCCTACCAAATTCAATAGCAAGGTTAAAATTTACGTAGTATGTAGAAACATGTAATAAAACATTTCAATAACATCTAAATCTTCAGAACAGGTGCTGTAAATGATTATTTACATGATTTTTACCCATTCACTTTTGAGGAATTCCTGAAAAAGATATGTAAATATTTCAGGTGAATTTAGAGGAAGTTCCTGTAAATTGCTCAAATCATGAGGCAGACGAAATGAGTGAATTAATTATCCCTCTTCCAGAGGCCCGGACTCATTTCAAACAAGCCAAAAGATCAGGAGTGAAACAAGTATTTTGAATTAACAGTGTAGGCAAACAAGCAAATGCCATTTTGGAATCCCCTCCTATTAGCTATGCAAATCTCATTAGAACGTTTGCTGGCACTTGCGGTGGCACATCCGGAACCAGGTACATACCACACGCCATTGATCTCATGCAACTACAACTGCAAGGCGGGAAAATAATCTGACTGCGGCATACCCCTTGCGAAGGATGCTGGGAAGGATAACCGAAGTGACTAAATTCGTAATCACGATTTCTGTGATGGCATTGCAGAGAAATGGGCACCCTATTCCTAGGTAACGCCGGCGAATGGGTTTTAACTGGAATTAAAGGTGGTATTTTGCCCTGTTTAGCAACTGGTTTGAAGCTTTGGTCTCTTTTAGCATTCTTCCACGTTGGCATTGTATGTAAGTGCGGTTTTATGGAAACCAGCGGGGGAATTTTTTTCTGTCTAGCTAGTTTGTCATCTTGTTTTTCTCGAAACAATGCGTGTGAAGGCACCTTGGGGGTATTCTCTGTAAAGTGTACAGGAGGTGATGGAACCTGTTTAACAGGTTTGACATCCCCGTCTGCCTCAGCAACTTCCCATGTAGGCGTCATTGGACAAAACGTTTTCTTGTAAGCTGGAGATGTGACGATATCAAGCTTTTCTCGTTTGACGTGCTTTTCCAGATCATTCCATTCCAGAAAAAGGGGCCAACTTGCTGCCTTAGTAGCAGGGGACGTGTCAAGGACTTGCCTATCTGGCTTGATGTCGTCATCTTCGCCGGGGGGGTTCCAAGGCCAGTTATACCTAATTGGTTTGTACGAATAAGGCAGCTTGTCGAACTTATAAACAAGTCTTTGGCCAGGAACCTAAAAATAAAATAGTTTGAAAAATAGTTTGTGGGGGAAGTAAGGCAAGCTAACAAACTGACATTCGACATCACACTTGAGAGTCGATTGGCACTTATCAAGGACTCAAGGAATCTAGGCAAGAAATTCCTTGCAATAGCTGATCTACTATTCCAGCCCTACGTGAACTTAACCCCTTAAGCCCTAAGAGTGATCAGCATCAAATTTCTCCTTGAGATATCAATGCTTTGTAAAACAGAGTGGTCATGAGAATTACGGATCGACATGATCACACAAGATGAATTTGCTTGATATTATCAACTTCTCCCCACTACTATATTGTAGGAAATGAGTAGGGTAAGAAATGAGAATTCAAATTTTGGTCGTAGGGTTTAAAGGGTTAATTAGAGCTAATATAAAAAGTCCAAAAATTGGGTTTTAAGTTTACTAATCTATCGCAATGAATTATTTAAATACGTAATTATTCAATATGATTAACTACAAAGGAAGGCACTAGAAAATCGCGCTTTTTTTAAATAAATGGTGGAAAACATCTGTTGGAAACTTGAGAAAAATCAAAAGACTTCTAGATAAGGGAAATTCTCGGTGTTAAAAGAACTTTAAGGAACATTGTTTTATGATAAAGATTCTTGAAAGTAAGTCACCTTTTTAATAATCCCTTTGTGATAGTAATATCTCAGCGCTCGACTCAATTTATCGTAGTTCATGCTGGTTCGTTGCTTTAACCTCCCCCATTTTCTAGCCACGTCCTCTTGTCTTTTGATTTTGAACTCGCCCTTTTCTTTCCTTGTCCATGCTATTAGCGCCGTGTACCTCTCGTCTTCAAGAAGCTCGAATAAAAATTCCCATAGATGCAGCGTGTTGTTGATTCGACTTGTTTTCTGTCTTTGCCTGGGCGTGGTGTGTTCTGTTGATTCTGTTTAAGAAAATAAAAAATGACAGTTTAGGCAATATCTTATCAAGTTCAAAAATTCGACCATAAACATATTAATAATACGGCGGTCAGCAGGCAGCGATGATGATGCCCGCCCTCTTTTTAAGCTGGCTAGTCTAGTGTTATTTGTTGCCTTTTTTGTCTGTGTACGTGTGTGTGTGCGTGCGTGCGTGTTTGTGTTTTAATGAATAACAAAGCTATAATAGAATAAAGTCAATCTTGTTAAAGGGCCATAATAAGTTTTACTATAATGTGCTCCTCTCCATTCTAATTTTTTTTCTTTTTTTCTTATGTACACGTAGTTTAAACAACCTTGTACTAATTAATATTGTACAACTAATGTATTATCTATGGGACGGAGTAAATATTAAATACAAATACAAATAATAAATTTAATAAAACCCTTGCTATGAGTGTTTTAAACAGAAAAAAAAAACAAAACAAAATAGTACTCAGCATACTTTCACTTGCTCTTGTCTTTTCACTAAGATGTATTTTACTAGGTACAGAGGTCGCCTTAGACGTGATAAAATTCGTGTATTCACTGGCATATGCACAATGCCTTTTGAATTGTTAATCCATTTAGATTATGCTGTTTGGTCGTCCAGTTTTAATAGAGCAGTATTTTTGTTTATAATATAATTATTTACTTCTTTATTGACTTATTTAGCCAGTGTTTGCAATATTTAATAACTGTAATGTCTTCGAATCCATGCATAGATGAAGCTTGCATACGTAAAAGATGCTAAAATAAAGCTGTTTTAAACAAATTTTCGCTTAAAGTTTATAAGGTCAGGGGCACCCAACGTCAATTTTTGGAAAATATCTGTTCGGAAGACCGTGATTTGAGTTCTAGAATTTTCGGAACATTCTTTGCAAGATTTCTTGCTTGCCTGCCTCTCCTAGAATTTTCGAACATCTAAAAAAAGGTATAATTACCCATTTTTAACGGATTTTTACCCTAAAAAGGTCACCAAGAATTTTCGGGAGCCTTTTTTCTGACTGAGATTTTCGAAAAGGTAAGTTTTGATCCCTATAATTTTCGGATCCCTAGACTATCAGTTTGAAATCCGAACAGGTGAAGAATTTTTAGGGGATAAAAATATACCTATACCCACCGTTTAACAATGCTATGTTTAAGTGGTTTTGAACTATATTCTTGTTGGGTGCCCCTGATACTTTAACTTTGGCTTAACCTATCCATTAGTCTTTATACAATTCTGGTATCATCTGGTTAAATGTGCGGTCCGTCCTTTGAAATACTTAGCCTGTCAAAATTTTGTACTCCCTATTATTTTCAGAAAGAAAAACAGTTGCGTCGTTTAATCTACTTACGCCTTTAAAAACAAAAATATGCCGTTTCTCCATCATTAGGCCGGGCAGAACAAAATCATATGTAGATATTATAGCCATGGTCAGGGAATGCCTTTTTAATGTTTTATTATAAATCACGATGAAACACCAAAAATTTCTGCCGTTCCTAAAACGTGTTTACTTCACTTCCCCCCAAAACACGTGCCATTTTTATCTTAAACATGTGAAGTTATCGGGTAGCCATCGAAACCGTCAAATAAGCCAATCACAATAGATCTTTATCTTCGTGCTCGCGGCGTGGCCGTTGTTTTTTAACTAAAATAGCTGAAGTTAGCAAAAATCTTAAAGGGCGGCATTTCCGATAAATTACCGAATTTTAATTTTAGTGGTTTCCCTGAAAGAAAAGTTACAGAATAAAGAGGAAGATTTCTAACTGTCGCTGAAAAATGATGTTAAAAAGTCAATTGCAGGCTAGGGGAGGAGAATGCGAACGCGTAGACGAAGAAGACGTGCTTGGACAATTTGAGTTAGTCAATTGGAAAAATCGAGAAAACTACCCTCAACTGATGAACTCGAAGATTACCTGAGTTATTTTATTTTGGACGCAAGAATCAAGACAAGAAATAGCTAGATCAGACGAGCCATCATCTCCGCGTGGAATAAACGCAGTGAACGCCACTTCGCGCCGGTTGCGGCAACTGCATCTTAATACAGGACAAAGTTTTAGAATACCACAAGTTGGACGTATTGAAAGCCAGACAAAATGAAATCAAGCATCACAGATATAGAAACAGACCAAGAACCACAGCAGCTTTTACTGGCGAGGAGATGGCTCTACTTCTAATTTGACAAACAGTCACTTGGAGTAAGTTTTTCCGCTTGCTGAATGTTGTTCGAATATTCGAATATTCGCTTAACACATGATCTTGGCCTGTGCGAGGACGTAAAGAACAAATAGAACTTCGGGGGAAGACGTTGTTCTTAAAATAGACATCTACGGCAAATAATATCTTGGGTACTTTGAACGCCAACAAAAACGACCACCAGAACAGGAGAAGGTCCTATAAATCAGCGACAGCATCAGTAAGCCGCCAAAGTGCTTCAACTTCTGATGACGACCCACTACAATTAACGTCTAGGCTTCAGGAAGGAACGGCGGCCATCATGGCAGGTCCGGATTCCTCTTTTCATATTGTAAATAACTTTGAAACACAATGTCAAGCCGACATGAAAGGGACACTGATTGGTTCAAAGCTCAAGTTATGGGGATATATAAACTCTTTGAACACCATAATGCAAGACTGAATTGACCAAAGCGGCGAGAAGTACAAGGCAAAAGGAACCGTATTGCAAGCCAAAACGTTAGTTAAAAGCAGTGCAAGACAATCAGATTGCTCAAACAACCGAATATAAATACTTCTAATCGGTGAATACATACAGTTTGCTCAGAGAGAAACGGACGGAAAGCAGTTAAGCCATTCTATCTCCAAAACTAATCGTCAAAGCCGTGCCTCAACCATTAGACAGTACAAGCACAATGACTTAACTACAGCCTCTCCTTCGCCTGCCAAGATGAATATCGCTTGTAATTCTTCCACTTCATGTGCTGTGGACCTCCCAGCTACTTCAATGAAAATAGATTGTGAGCTTTGTTTTGGGGAAACTGCATACGTAAAGGCGTTTTCAAGATCAATTTAGCTCCTGCGAAAATCATTCAGTGGAAAGTCCCTAACAGGCAACTACTTAATGGCTTCGACGAGCCATCGAAAACAGTGATCTTCATAGCAACGAACAAAATAAAGGTGGGGTACCAAGCATATCTGTACATCCTAACCGAAAATATTCAATTTATATCGGACATATTGGTTGGGAATCTTGATCCTCTCTGTTTCATAACTGATTCAAGTGTTTACTGCATGTGCGTTAACTGAACGTTTGTCATTCAGAACCCTTGTGATGAATTGCGTTTATAAAACATCCAACTTTTATTTCACATCTCAAAAACACATTGAGACTAAATTTGACCTCTCTTCATACATTGTATGTATTGTAAAATCTGATTATTGTCATTTTTGTTAAATAATTCAAGACTATACATTCCGGGCTAAACGGCGTTTACTGTGTATATGCGCTGCTAATTTGTTTGTGATGTTCTTTAACCACATTTGAACTGATTTGAAAGAACTAAAACTGCGAGATAAGCCTCTTTTTTACCCGAGAATTGTGTTTATCACGATGAACATAGTAAACAGAACATTACATGTCCGCTCATAGATACCTATTTTGTGTTCTTGTGTTTAAATATTATCAACAGGAGAAGATAACATTCGTCACGGCTAAGTAATATCTCCATCGGTTTTCAAAGTAAAAGGTGTTTTTCTCTAACCAGACTTTTTCGAGCAAAATATGTCATTCCTCCACCCATTTTCAGAATTAAAAAGTGTCCCTCACACTACTCATTTGTAAACAAAATATTCTGTATATCCTCTATCCATTTTCACAGCTAAATATATCATTTAATTCTACTCATTTTAAGAAGGTAATATATTTTCTTTACCGACCTACATGCCGTCTAAAAGATACGTATTTTATCTTAGTTCTTGTATTTAGATTCTTTCAACACGAGAAGATAACATTCGTCAATATTCGGCTACCTTTTATTTTTCCACCGGCTTTCAAAGTAAACGGCATTTTCCTCTGACCAGATGTGAGAGCAAAATTATATTCCTAGACTTTCACTCAACTAAACGGGGACAGCCATTGGCTGACTCTTGGTCACATGGCCTTGACTAAAAGCAAATGTATCCCGTCGTGATACCGAAGCAATGTACCACGCTCGGGATACATTACAGCACATGATCAAAGCATGGTGGAAAGTGGCGTGACAGAAGGCGGGGAAAAAAACTGCCAGTTTTCTTTTTCGTGAATGAACATCAACACAAACATGAAGCCTCAAGCTATAAAAAAGCGTCGATTTTCAAAGTTATCGCAGAAGAGAAACAGCAGCTTGTGCATAAAAAAAATGCAGATAATATAAGGAAAGTACTTTGTAAATCATTCATTTAGTGGTTTTCAGAATTAAATTTGTGTTCTTATAAGTACCGAGTCGACTGTTTTGATGCGCTCCGCTTAAGCATATTCTTTTGTTGCTACTGAAGTACGTTGAAGTGAAAGTCTAGAAATATAACAAAACATTTAATGTCAGGTCCTTCGGGAAACCAGTTAGTTTTGTTTTCCCTCGAGTCCTGATGTTTCCCACGACTTCGTCTTCGTTATCAGAACTCAGGAAAACAAAACTAACTGTTTCCCACGGGATCTGACATTACTAAGTGTATATTTTTCCTCTTCCCATTTTCAAAATTAAAAAGTGTCCATCAGACTACTAATTTTAAAACAAAGTATTCTGTATTCTCTATCTATTTTCACAGCTAAAAATATCATTTAATTCTACTCATTTTAAGAGGGAAATATATTTTCTTATTACTGACCTATCTTCAAAACAAAGTGTTTCATTTCATCTGCCCATGCGCACTTTTGCTTTCAGACAACCAAGAAAAATAATTCTCAGAAAGAAAGGAGCCGACTTACGTTTTTAACCTGCTTTAATGCCACTTCAGCCAAGGTTTAGTAACAGGAGGACTTAAAAAGGTTTTTCTGAAATTCTTTGGATTTCAATTTTCAATTTTCTATGATCGCGACCCAATAGCCAAACATGATTTGAAACTTCGAGTCGATCCCAATTGAAGGAGGCCCAAGGCAAGCTTTGGGTACTCTAATTTCAAATGTTATAATAAGCAATCATCCACGTGAAAACAACCAAAAAGGAATATTTAGAAACTGATAGAATTATCAGAATGTTGCATGCACGCCCTTTAGTATTGCCTATGATAATCTTGATATCCTTTTCGATAGACTATTATGTACCCCTAATAAGGAAGCATCCTGTCCGGGATTTATGAAGAAAATCACGCGAAAACTACTAAATATGACTATTTGCTAGACATACTTATTATGGCCCATTTTATTAACTTTTTCCACGTTGACATGTTCATAACATTCATTTAGCGAGAGATTCTTCCCAGACAGTGGATTTATTGACAACTCAAAGTTTGTTGGAAATACCGTCTTCATAAGTTAAAAAAAAAAAGATTTTGTTTAATTTTATGCAGATTACTTTATCTTACAAAACAAAATAACCATTGCATTTTTATGTTTTCTCATCTACTAATAGTTTAATCCAATTAGTGGGAGGCAAGGCTATACTTGCATGTAGCTTGGTCGCTTTTCCTTCAGCTCGTTTAGGGAGGCCCTTAAAAATGAATTGGCCAATGGGCAGTCATGCACTTAACTGCTTAACTTAAGTGTTCATTAGATTAAATTCTATATTCCCAAAAAATTAAGAGAAGTAGGGCAAGGGTTAATGGACGCTGCAGCAAAGTCACGTTTCTGATAACACTCCCAACAAGTGGCGCGTAGCTCTAATTGACTGCCCTTTTAGGCCTTAGTGTACTTATTACATTCCAAAATGACAGATTTCCCTATCTTTTTATACACTTCAATTAGTGGAAATCCTACCGTTTCATATACCCGAAGCCTAAAAAAGGTAGCTCTTTCGGGTCTCCGTAGAGGCTGTAGTAGAGAGTACCCCGGGGCCAGGGTCCTCTTATATTACTAATTAAAAGAACTGACACGAACCCTTAAAAGAAAAAAAAATAACCTATTTGTCGGCGAATATTTCCTTTCTTACCAAATTGGGATTTCACGGTTGAAAATAAAAAGATAAAAGATTTCCTTCCGCCGGAACAGTTCGAATTTTGCTTTGTCATAATGAAAATCTTATTGTTATTGTGATTTTTAGGAATACGAACAAATGGGATTAACTCTAGACATTGCTTGTATAAGAGGTTACTCTATCAAAACATCGGTACTGTGCATGTGACATCTGACTCGGTGATTAGCGCATGATATTGATACAGATTGACTCCTTTGAAGTCTTGTTTGTAAATACAAGTTGTCTTATTTTTATCAGCCTAAATTTTCAGAGATTAGTTACTTTAAGTAGTTAAGTAAGTGTTATGACTGACTTATCATTTTTGAAGATTGTGTTTTGAATAGTTGCAACTTGTTAATTGAAACTAAATTTAGTTTTTGCATGTGCGGAGGGGCGCTGTTTTTACAGCCTTGCTGTTAGGCGTTTACACTATAACCTCAATGTTCATTTAAGTTGTTTCTTGTTATGATTATTATGATTATTATTTTTGTTATTAAATTTGTTGTTGTTTTTATGAGTAGTAGTAGAAGTAGAAGCAGCAGTGGTACTTTTATTGATTTTCAGATTATATAGTGTCGACCAGTGGTCCAGTGGTCCAAAATCTCGATAGATCACAGTGTTTGTAACAGTGTTTTTGTGTACTCATTCCAGGGGAATAACGTCAATACAAAACACTCTTCAGAATTTCCATCAGTCTCTGATAACAAAGATTACAAAAGAGGGCTTAAATTGGTGAAAGATTCTTCGAGATGAGGTCATTAAAAGCGCAAAAAAGAACCAGGCCAATATTCAGCCACCTTGACCGAACAAGCTCCGGTCAATATAAACCATTTTGTTGTATGGCCAAAGAAAAAACTTTTTCTTGCGCGACCAAGGCGGGAAATACCGCTCGAGTAGCCAGTCGTGATCAGAACCAACACAATTTGCTTCATCGCTGTCAGCTCGCTGATTCAATCGTAAAATAAATAATTTTTCTGCATTTGGATAAAGTGGTCCAGAGGTGAATGACTTAAAAGAGATTTACAAGCTTTCATCCATAGTTTCGGCGGCAAAAGCTACAGACATTTTGCATTTAGTAAATATTGTTGCACATACAGCCGAAAAATTAAGTGGCTACATTGAAATAGTAAAACGATGAAGGCTTCTAATCTTTCCCTTGGATTTGGATATACTAACAGCGAAGACTTCCATGTCAAGACCAAGCCAAACTAAACCAAACTAACGTTAGAGGGTGACGCAAACCCTTGTCCTTCTAGATGTCCGGCCCAACTAACTGGGGACGGAATTTTAAGAAGGTTGGCTTTTGTGAGAGGAGGAAATCGGAGCTCCCGGAGAAAAACTGCCTCTCAGATCAGAATAGAGAACCAACACCAACACTCATTAGAACCTACGTACTATGAAGTCGACAACGAGTCTCGATTATTCGCGGCGGCGTAAATGCTCTCGTCACTTCTCCATCATACCCTAAATTTCCAGTTTCAAAACTAAGAAATACAGTTTTCGTTTTGTTTGAAAGAAAACGTATTTTAAATAATGTGTTTAACACACTTCATGCTTCACCAGAAAAAGATACTAAATTTATAAATCATGAATTCACTGAAAATGTCGCTCGTTCGTTATCGAGATCACTTGCTTGATGCCCGGGGCAGTCAATATTTCAATTTATCTCAGTGATATAGTAGTAGTATTATTTATCTGAAACAGGTTTTACAACGATCTTGAGTGAGGGCAGAAAGAAAAAATTCGTCTTGTCGTTTCAAGGTTGTCTCCAATCAATCATGATGTGGCGAGTTTAACTTACCTGTCGGCCGGTGCAAAATTAAGTGAACATGAATTGCAAGAGTATGTATGTTTTAGGTCTTTTTAAATTCGTTTGGTTATTGGAACTAAGCAGGATTCAATACTAAACAAAGGAAGGGGGTCGCTCGCACGTAGAGGTTCCGAGGAACATTATTGGATCCATGAAGATAGGGGTTTTTACAACTGAAAAACTGGGTCTTTTACAGAGATAGTAAAACGTATTTATGGACTTTTTCTAAGCGTGCAAATCTTCCGCTCATTCTCAGAGGGAAAACAAAATGTCTATAACATTATTTTTGCAGACCTTTAATAAAGTTTCTTTGTATTTAAATATATTTACATAGGATGGCTATGAGTAGTCCGTGTAACTTTTACACGCGGGATTAAGTGAGAAGACTGAAAAATTCACAGACTTACCAAAAACTCTGCAAAATCTTTGTAATTGTGACATTTATTGAGATTGTCCTCAGTTATTGAATAGTAAGGACTGATTGAGAGCTCGGCTAAAGATGGCTTTTGATTAAACGTAACTATGTATTTGATACAGTCTCCGCCTTTACTTATACTTTGAATATTGATTTTAGAACTATCATGCGTATACCAGTTTTATTTTTACATAAGTGATAAGTTTTATTATTGTCCTACTAATGTAGTAGCAGTTTTCAATTTAACGTTCAAAACTATTATTATTTATTTTATAGATGACCCCACATTTAAGATTTATCAGGTAAACGAACTATCCTTCTATTTAGAACTCGTTAGCTGACTCACATATATATACATAGCTGACAAGCATATGAGTCCTCAAAAGGTTTGTCAAAATAACAAAATAAAACCTAGTAAGTACTATAAAGAGTTTGGAACTCAATAAACGCTCAAATTTTGTTAAAGCCAGTCGATTAATCATGGATATCTATTACAAATGATGTTTTAAAACTTACCTTCTGCCATGCTGTCCCCAATTAATGTGCGCTGAACGTTCTGTAATAGCGCTTTTCAGTTGCCCTCAGCAATTAATAAACCTGGAATAGAAAACTGACGTAAAGCATTTCTTCATTGTCGTGGTTAAAATATTGACCTTCCATCAAAGAATACTGAACCACAATTTACCTCACTTTAATTCTGTTTAGAATTCTTTTTGTGTAAAATAGGGCTTCATTTATTTCAATCCATTATAATTAACATAAAACATAATTTCCTTGGGACACATTTCTTTTTCAGTTAAATGACTAAATTGAACAATTACCCCATTTTGTCCTCGTTTCACCAACTGGAACAAGAAACCCAAGGGATCGAAAAGTGTTGGTTTTTCATAATGGTTTTTTTTAATTCGTTTGCAGACAACTAGCTCGATCTGTTCTTTATTTACTTATTTATTCAAACATTTGGACACGTATGTTGATAAAACTGAACCCTAGATTTCATTTTAATAATAGAGTTAAAAATTTTGTTTAACTTGTCTGATTTAAGTGGTTAACAGCTGTATATTCAGGGTCTTCAAGGAATGGAGGTCTCTTATATTATGTCCACCACTATTTTAAGAGGAATGAATAAATTTGGAAGAGAGGCAAGTAAATTTAGCCTTTTCAAACAACGGGTTGTTTAAATATTGAGTAGTTCTGTCGTTAAATCGGTTTTGAAAATTTCAGGGGACAGAAAATCAATCGTCAGTATTGTTCACGGCTCACGCTTGAGAGAATCTTCCGGGTGAACACAATGTGTTAAAAAAGTTCTAAAAATTACTTGACGTGTGTTCATTTTACCATCACACCGGGATTTCTTGTCTCACGTTGCCAAGTAGTTTGCTGAGGGAGCCTAAAACATGCACCAAAAAGCTAAGATGTAGCTCAACTTAGCATGTACAGCGGAGCATTTCGCTATTCTCCGATATCTTATACAATCATGTTGACGTCGTTTAAGCGTGTCCTAACTGTGTTTCAGCTGTCCTAACTAGTTAACTAGTTCCAGGTGAACTACTTTATCTGCACTACACTGAGTTTCAGTGCGCAATAAATATATGTTAATATGTCTGATGCATGATCTCCAGCTCTTTCGTAAAGGGGCCGACTAGGTTCAAAGGTGGAGAAGGATATTGGAAAATGTAGCTCGTTTCGTATTTATCGAAAAACAAATAGCATAACCGGAAAGGCTGTTATTAAAGAGTTTATGCACCAAGAGTTCAAATGGTCATACGTTGGAAATTTCATCCACGAATGAAAATTTAGAACTTTAACTTGCCTTAACACTGAGCGCCACAGCATGGCCTGATTAGAGCTTTGCCTAAATTTTTAATTTTGATCAAAGCCACCTTGCATATTACATAATAAACTGTAACAAAGGAAAGTTATGCTCAGTGGCTTTCATTTGAAGAGGCTGCACGTTATCATTCACAGAATCAAACGACGAAAGAACCCTCTGAACTGCATGAAACTTAGTGCTGCGGGGAACTAGTCAGTTGCGGAAACTGACGGGATCCGTCTCAGAAGCTGCCGTAAAAATGATCACAGATATTGATTTTGTCCACACACTCAAAGTTTCCACCATATTGCACAACAAAGTAGAACCACTGCTCAGTAGCCTCCCTTTGGAACTTACGTACACATATTTAGACATCAAACTACTTTGCATGGACACATTTTTTTAGTTTGTTCCCGCTGGTCAGACGAAATTAAGGGAGGTTAAACTAAGTTTCTTACTATATACCTGTGCAGTGCGCAATTACCCTCAAACGCTTTCTGCTTCTTGCCTTCCGCTCTGCTATCTCTATGCATATACGCTACAAAACGCGCACTAACAAGGGGTCTTATAAGTTCAATGTAGATATTGCTTCAATGATCAGTGCATAATTAAGGCGATATAAAATTTCCGTGTTGCCTTGTCGGACGTGACTATATGCATTTCCGGTTGCTAACCATGGGGTGGAATGTTCTTCGGATAAATATGATTTCCTTGTTACGTTAAAACTCGGAAATGTTTACAGAAAACTGATAATACAAACACTGTCACTTTATATCAATTTTCTTTATCAGTGAAGCCAGTCCAGGCATGTTTTTAAGCGGTTTTGAACGGTTAACTGTACAATATACGTGCGCATATTTCACAATATTATTATGTAGTGCCAACATTGTGCAATAAATAAATAAACAGATAAGTTTTACAAGTACGAGGATTGCATTACAAACTAACAACCCATGATAGTGAATAGCACGAAATTGTAGCTTTTTTTCGAAAGACAAATATGACAAATGACTGTGAAATTTTAATGATACTTAAATGGAACTTTTACGACTAAAGCTCATGGATACAGTGTCATATAGTGAGCTTAAGATAATAATTAAACGTACGATAGATAAATCGCAAAAGGAGAAAATATTCAAGGAACGTCAGAAAAAGAAGCTCAACTATCTTTAGTGAAAAATTGCTTTTCAGTGCACTTCACACACGTTCGAAGGAATAACGCAGTCCACCGTGTCATTGATTTCGTCATAACTTGTATAATAATTACTCGTCATTTTGTTTTTTAACTTGTGATTCTTTTCTTTCTTTTTTTTTTTTTATTATCAATTTTCTCTTTTCGTTCTCAAGATAAGAATATAGTTGCCTAGAAATCGAAAACCTTGAGAATCACTTAGACATATAATTTTTACAAAAAAAATTTATTCAGTTTGTTTTGTAATTTCCGGCAAGAAAGAGTTGCTGTGTGACTCCAATTTCCGATTAAAAATCCATTAAAGTGACGTTTACCGTGTGTTTTAGTGAACATACTTTCTTTAGTTGCAAAGCAATCGTTCAAATTTTGGGGATATCAATGGAAATGGAGGCCTTTTAATGTGTCAATATTGATCTTGAAAGGTATCGTTTTAGTCAGGTTAGTAAGCGAAAGGGCCTGCCGTGCTATGAAAAAGTCTGAGTTCAATTACACATTTTCCATTTGGCCGTTTTGTCAATCTATTGCTTAAAAGGATACGACAGTTTTCAAAGTTTATCGTTTAGAGAAATGGTTGACTGAGACAATTTTTCAGGCTTAGATATTTCAACAATCAGCTTTATTTTGGCTCCTGAATTTACTTGTCTCTGGCAGTTTGTGATATAGTTTCGTTAATTAAGTTGTACAATCATAAAACATCTTAGATAAATACAACATTGGCCAGTTTAGGCGTTGTTTTCACGATAGTCTCTTTTCAGACTTTTCGATCAGACGACGTTGCATTTCGATCGTCACTTAAATTTGGTGGACTTCAATCTTCATTATTCATGTTGTTCCCCGGGTAATTCGCTGTTCAGGGTAGCTATCAATTTTCCAAGACAGCGTAAAGACAGGGGAGAGTTTAACATGCTGTTAGTTTTTTATTATTATTATTTTAAAGAACGGTGCCAGTGTTGATTAAGTTTCTTGCAGCAAATGAGGAATTTAAAACTTTTGTGACAGTGAACTTCTTGTTTTGTTGCAGTTATCTTTGGATCGGGGCTAACAAGGGACGATACGGGTTAAATTTATTACATTTTTCTCTCGTTTTGAGAAGTGTAGAAGTTCGTTAGGTCCATGTTAAGTCTAGCAACATGGTGCCCGGGTATTATCCCTATTGAAGTGATGAAAATACCCAGAAGAATCGCTCAAGGTTAAACTCCCGAACACCCACTTTGCGCGTACATGGAGGACGTAGAGGAATGCGACCTGCACAAACAAAATGGAAGGAAGTATTGAAAGTGGCAAACAAACATCGATATCTCCTATCACAGGCATATATAAACAACAATGTTTATAGTGCTAAACTCGCGTCACCTGCGGAAATGTACAAGTCTATAAGGGGAGGCGTGATTTGCTTGTCTGTGCCAAATACCTCGTCAACGCCCACGTGAATCAGTTACAGACATATACATTATACACAGGAGCCCATTTGCCAGCCATGCATATTAATGGCCACTAATTACCAACTATGCTTTTTTTTCTCACTTTTAGAGAGGTATATTTTGGAGCGAAAATGTGATTTCTCAAAAAACGAAGTAGACACTTCGGAGTAAGTATTTCCACGTCTAAACAGTGTACTTACATTTTAACTAGATGCCCACTTTAAGACTTGACACCTAATTTCCGGACCCGAAAGACTTTGAACTTGTTTATCGCTTTAGTTAGGTAGATGTTTTGAAGTCACTATAAAGAAAATGCGGATATTAAAGTATCCTTTTTTGTCGTCGAAAACATACCGTGTTTAAAACCAAGACCTGTAAAGCCCTCCTTCATACGATGCAAAAGATCTCTCCCAAATATTTGTGGATTTACTGGTGAATAACCTTCTTTATTCACAGCTTTTCGCGCTTACGTAAAGGTCACTATATTAAAGAATACACGAGCAAGAAATAAACTTATTCTGCTTTTATAACAAGCATACGCGTACCCAGAAAGAACCATATAGTGGTATGCAAATCGTAAACGCCTTTCTTGTTTTGTTCGTCGAGAACATTAGCGTGCAATACAACAACGAAAGACGTCTGCTCCCTCGCCGGAAGCATAACGAATAACATCACACGGGAGTACTGCTCATAATTTGGGATTCTATTCTACATCCGTAAATTATAGCCACCGTGTGCAACATAGCAAACAGTAATGCAAGAAGGTGCTGTACTTAAGTACTTCATCCATGCACTGAAAAGTTAGAACCTGCAGTACAATAAACAGTACCACAGGAAAGTACTGCTCCGTAGCTTAAATTTGAATGGTAACACTTTAGAATTTTATCCACAGACTCAACAAACATCACAACATGGAAACCTATCTTTGAGGTAAAAATGGTTGCTCACGAAAAGAATATGAACTTACACACAAAATTTCAGAGTTTAAAACAACGTCATTTTCAGACACCAGAAGAAGTGTTTAATTTGATTTCCAAATATTGAGAATTGGCTATTTTAACAATAATAAGTAGCTCAGATTAATTTTTAAATACTTTTTCGTGAATATGATATATCTCCTCCAATGATCAATAACTTTTTACACCGGCAAAAGTTCACACAAAATTCTAATCAAATCTTTAAATGATTTGCATTTATATTTCGTTCACGCTAATGATTTCCTAAGTTCTTTTTCTTTTATTTTATGCATGAGATTCCAAAATTCAATACAATTCAGATCTTGTTTTATATGTTTTATAGATCGCCCTTAAGTGCTAAACATTTTTCACAGAGAGGGGCAATAATTTCTATATCGTCTTCAAGAGAGGTAAAAACAACTTCCACATGGCGCTCAAATCGGATTATCAAATTTTCGTCTAAAAATTCTTCAAAACTAAAATCCCCGTAAATCCGCAGGAAGGAACTTTAAGTAGCACTTCGAATTCGCCTTCTCCTAAAAATATCCTGTTAAATAAATGCAGGGATAATTTTAAGTTTCTTACGTTCATTTCGTTCATTTTTCAAATGAATTAGCTTCTGACAGGAACAATTTTAGGAAAATCCATCAACTTTTCTGAACAGAGCTCCTTAGTAAAACTGCGAAGTTTGAGAGTTATTTGTTGAAAACTAACGAAGGTGTAGACATCAAAGTCGCGAAATCTTGAAGACGTATGTGGGGGGCACAAATAACTTTCCGCCCAACTATACAAACGTCTTTAGATTTCCGAGCTTTCTAGGGCCTAAATGTTCGCTAGCTTTCAAACCTGGCAATTTTCATAATTTTAAGGCGCTGTTTCCAGTCTTGTTTTTTTTTTCCTGTCTGGTCCATGTCAAAAGTTTGAAAAACCGCGGAAGGATCTACGTGGAGTGAACATTGAATGAGATTGAAAACTGAGGATCAGTTATTTAAACGAAGCCTATAAACTTAGGCAACGGTTTAGGAAATGTCTGGACCACCAGGACTCTTAGAGGGTTACTTTAAGACAAAATATAATAATGCTTTTCCAGTCTACGCCACGTGCTATCATGAAACTTTTGTCAATAAATGGTGTTTACGTAAAAGCGTTCTGCAAACCGAAAATGGCTTAAAACGCGGTTTTGTTAAATACTGGCTAAACTCCGTTAAATAAGTAACCCGAAAAGTTTTTATAAGGGTGCACACTCGAACATAACGACAAATCTTATCGACGCATTTGTTGATAACGAAACTTAAGTATTGGCCATTTTAAGACGGTTAACAGAAATCTCTCTTCAAGTTATTCAAAAGTCTTAAATCTTGAAATCCTTAAGTCTGGTGCAATGGCAATCCTATTTCTGCAACTACAACTGATCGTGCAATAGATCAGTGATAAATGTTGCTAGTCTGTGTTGTTCTTTTAATTGGCCGACAAGGACAAGATTTGTCATAATCTGTCTACGTTACCATTTATTCCGGAACGCGACCACAAACTGAGAATTAAATAAAACCTTTGTTGATTTCGTAGGCGTTACCCTTGGCTGAAAGATTTGATTTTGAAATCAGTTCACTGTTGCAAACAAGACACAGCAGAGACCTTTAGATTCTAAGAAGAGTACGACGACGAGAACGAGATTTTCTCAATACTAGGTAGTGCTCGCGCGTGAACCAACGTCATTTTGGCGGGAAAACGTGGTAGCCGTCGTCATTCTACAACGAGTTTCAGCGAGAATATCGAAGTGGCGGAGACAGATATCAAATGGTAGAAGTTTTATTATTTTACGATCGGAAGAGTGCGTAACCTCCTTCAGTAAAGAAAACAGCCAGAACGGTGCTAACGTACTTGTAGTAGTTCTCGTCCTCGAATCTAAAGGTCCCTATTCTCTACGTAGAGTCCGGGGGGCGCACCCCCTGTGATAACCTATAAGGGAAGAGTCTGCCCGAAAGTGGTACTTTTTTCAAGCTTCAGGTACATGAGAGGGTAGCAAAGGTTTTCACTAGCTGAAGTATATTAAAGGGTAGGAAAATTTGTCATTTCGGGTTAAAAGGGTTAACAGATTCACTTTATGGCTGCAAAAAAGTCGAGAAAACGTTCTGGTTTTGTGGTTTTTTGGAGGGTCTCAATGGGCCTTGGTTAACCGAGCGCAAGCCGTCAAACGGCCTAAAACTTAACCGTCAACCTTCAAAAAAGGTTATTTTTATCGTCAACCGTCAAAAACGCAGGTTAAGATTAACTGTCAAAAGTTTCAAAGTATTTCAGTTCTCACTATTTCAGCTGATCTCCACTGAATTTTGGCTGCTAGAGAATTTCTAAACTGTAAAAGCCAGTTCCCATGTTCTCAAAGACAGTATTTCTAGACATTACAATTTATAATACCTTACTGCTTATATCTGAAAATATTTCGAAATTTTATACATGAAAGGCCAAGACAACCTTCAAAACACATCAGTTAATATTAAATCATGCCCAAGTTAATAAAATATTTGCACAAATTTTTGGACTAAATTTCCACGTAATAACCATCAACCATCAAAAGCTCTGAAATTTAACTATCAGCCGTCAAAATTGGAAAAATTAACCATCAACCGTCAAAGTTACCACCCCATTGACACCCTCTTTTTCATGTTCTGAAAACAGTGCATTTACTGCAGTTGCAAAGTTTTAAACTAGGTGTGTGACAGGGTATCATTCAGAGTCAACATGATGTATACGAAAGGTGTACCTTTTCTTTCAAAAATGGTATATGGAAGGGGCTGGACCTCGGGCGGAGCCTTCCCATATAAAACTTCTGCATAAAGTAATTTGCAAAAACAAAAAAGCGAGATGTAAGAGGCTAGGCCACACACTTGTTAACTTTTCAGCTAAATACATTGTCAACAAGCTATGTATATATATAACTGACTGAATAAAGTTATGTGCATTTGCCCCTTCTAAAATCTTAATTTCTTGAAAGTTTCACTCAATATGCCAAGAAGAAAGGTGTTTATTTTGGACGTTTTTTTGCCAATAGATTATTATTTTTGTCGATTTAAATTTTAGAAGTCAACAATCAAGTCAACATTGATAGACCCAATAACGAACGCAAAGTACTTTAACCTTGTTTGTACCACCCTGGGAAGCTTAAGACAATACAACACTACAGGAAGGAACTCCTCAATCTTAGTTAAGAGATTCGTCAATACGTTCAAGAGTCAAACGCGCTAAAATCCCTCTTGAAATGTTGATTGTCTTGTCAAAGAACATAATTTGGGGGGAAAACAAGAGACCTTTGGTCCTTCTGTAAGGACAGCGTCAGTGGTCAGTTTAATGTAGCATACACCAGCAAAATAGGTGGTCGAAATTGGCGACTGAGATGTCATTGATAGGATCACTTAATTATTACAAGTTCCCCTTACATTGCAGACATCTTAGCTAGACTTGAGAGTAGTAGGCTTTAATAGTGCACATAAGAATTGTTAGAAAACTCTGTTGGTAAGGATAATTACGTGGTAGTTAGCGCAATGTATTTTCGAGTTTGCTTGAGGATGGAACACTGAACGCGACCTTTTGCACGAACGATGATCGATGTTTAATATGCTGTAAAATGTGGTTCTATTTTTTGGAGTCTGTGGATGAAATCCTTGAGTGTCACCCTTCCAATGAAAGCTACTGAGCAGTACTTTCCTGTGGTACTGTTTATTATGATCCAAAGGTGGATCTAACCTTTCTGTGGATGAAATCCCTAAAGTGTGACCATTCAAAATGAAAGCTACTGAGCAGTATTTTCCTGTGGCACTGTTTATTATGCTTTACAAGGTGATTCTAACTTTATTCAGGCTGAAGATCAAATTCTGAAGTGCTACCATTCAAGTAAAAGCGGTTGTTGATGACTACTTTATCATGACGGTTCCCAGTTGTGAATTTTTAGTATTTAACGAAAAGACGTGCCAATGCAATGGATGAATGAGCTCTTTTATCTAAATTGAAAACAGAGAAACGAACGTCTTTTATTTCCGGCAAAATTAGTATTACAAAATGAACAAACCAAGGCTTTTCGAGTATTATAAATCACTCTTTCAGTGACTCAAAATTAATGTGATTGACCTTTTTTTATTAAAGAAAGTATAGATAGTGCTACCCTCATTCAATCCCCTCATGTCTCGCCCATATTCCCAAATGTTCTTACGGAGATGTATTGTACGAACGACTACCGTTGTTAGTCATTTTTTGGCTATCAAGCTCATTTAATCAGTATATCAACCGCTGAAGATTTGACTAAAGTTGCCTAAAACGCATCGCCGATGAACTAGCTTCCTTAATAACAGTTGCCGGTCTCAATGTTGATATTGCACTTCGTTTTGGTAACCACCAACCAACTACATGTAATGCAGTTAATGCAGAGAGAATCTCCACGAGATGATCTGATAGACTTAAGTATCGCGCAATATCCCAGACTCCTAGATATCCTTCTCTTGTTAGTTTTTCGGCGGCATGGGTTAAGTCACGATAATGATGTAGTCGAATTTCAAATACACTTTTTTTTCCAGTTTAATTTCCCAGCTGTTAAATTTGGGGGGTCAAGTGTGACTCAGCGATACTTGTTTAAAGTGTACATGCAAAGAACAAGAAGCGGTTCTCGACAGCCCTTAAGTTCGAACTTGACATGGAAGAGTGGAAAGTTCATAGAATGACTGTTCATATTTTTGGAAACTGTAAACGAAGACCTCATCCACTGCAACAAACGGATGATAATATCCGCAATTCAGTTTTACGGTCCCAAAGCCGGAGTAGTATTATGGAAATATATACCGCCAATTATATGCGAAATGTCTTGATCAAGTCTTTGAATAGCTAAAAGTGAAAGAACACAATTCAGTCATTGTTGATCGTCAAAACAAGCCTACCTTTTCCTCCACTTCTGAGCAAACTAAGAAATTAAAGATTTTTCACCTCAGGTGAAAAACCTCCACGCAGGTAAGGGATTGATGCACCGATGAATCGTGCAAAACATTTAACTGATATATTGTCTGACATTGTTGACGCGCTGTATATCACACTTCTAATCTTTATATTGTAGGCCAATAGTCAATGGTGAACTGTGGATTGCTCTTTTTGATTGGTTAAAAAAGTTCTCACGCCAGTTCCGTTTGATTAGTGTGGGCCTCTGTCTTTCTCCGGCAGATGATCGAGAAGTCTGGGAATAGTATACTTCAGTGAACAATTTTAAAATCCTTCTATTTTTTCGATACCAAATTGCCATGAAAAACTACACTACCCCTTCAATTTTTGAAGCATTTCGGAGTTTTCAGAGACGCATTTCAGAAGCAGTATGTTTTTTTTTGGACTTTTCAGGGGCTTTCATTCCTTGGAAGGCATATTAGCAATCAATGCTAAAAGTGGTCGTTGCAGTTGTCACGACTATTGGATTTCATCCACCTTGTAGAGCGAGAAGTATGGGCTCCTGTCAGTAGCTTTTATTCGAATATTCACCCCTAAGGATTTCATCCATTACTCAAAAGTTAAAATAAACAGCACCCAGCACAGGTAACGCAGCCCCTGTGATGATACCACAGTATGAAACCTGTGAAATTACAGTGTTTGTATAGCGGGGCAATCAGCTACGATCCCAAAATTTTTTTTTGGTACTAAGAGGAAAAAAAGTCAATGGATTTTACTCTGTAGGAAATTAATTGATTGTTTTTTCTTAATTCTCCTACCAAGTTTTAATTCTCCCTCCATGTAATAAAATACACATTAAGGTACTAAAAACCTTTGAATGCAGAGGTCCACTCAACGCGTAAATAAAACCGACTGGTTCTTTCTTGTCGTATCTCTCACTTGACTGAGTGGGAATTATAACACACTGAATGCAAGGCTGGCAATACGGCAAAGGGCTGATAGATTTGAGGCTAACATTTTCAATATTGGAAATATTGGCTTCAAATAAGTCAGCCCTTTGCCGTAATGCCAGCTTTGCATTCAGTTTTGTGTTAATTCCTACACAAGGTAGTTCACAAGAAATGAAAGTCTCTGTCACCATCGCTCCCTTTTTAACACCACTGTTCTCCTAAACTTGATAATGGTTCTAAAACGTTTGCCTTTGTAGAAGAAATCCACTAAGCGTACCCTTTCAAATGAAAGCTACTAAGCATTACTTTCCTGTGATACTGTATATAGCACTAAGGTGGTTCTAACCTTTGAGTTTGTACATGAAATTCGTAAAGTTTGCCCAAACAAGTGAAAGGTACTGAGGAGTACTTTCCAATATAACTGTTTATTATTGTTTACAAGGTGGTTCTAACTTTTGAGTCTGTGGATGAAATCCTTGAGTGTCACCATTCCAATGAAAGCTACTGAGCAGTACTTTCCTGTGATACTAGTTATTATGTTGTACAAGGTGGTTCTAACGTTTAAGATAAAAGACCGCAATAACTTCAAATCAAACGAAACCTGGCTATCTAGCAGTTCGCGTTCATTTTGTTCCGTTCCTTTTTTGGGGGGTAGGGAAGGGGAGGTGGTTTTCGTTCGTTCGTTCCTTTGTTTCTTTTGTTTGTGATTTTATGTTTATGCTGTATCCCTTGTGTAATAAATACCTAAGCAAAACTGTCGGATGAACATTCACTTTAAACTTTTTATAGTATATATTCTTTTTTTTTTTATTTAGTAAACCATCGCTATTTAGGCAATATTTAATAAAATTTTTACTTGTTTTCTTTGATCAGAAGTAAAAACCAATCCACTGTTTAGAAGTCAAAATTCACTCGGAAAGCTAACGGGCCACAAAAATAACAGATTTTTCTCGTTAGCATGAGATTCGGCGCATGTCGGCGAGTTCGACGTCGGACAGGAGTCTAGTCTTAATATGCAAAAACCCAATCGCATCTTATTATATCATACGTTAAGACCAATCCGCTTAATCTCCTTTGAAACAGAAAACACCTCTGATCAATTACAAGCGCTTAAACTCACCTGCTATTGAACAAAGCTATTCAGTTAGAAAACCTTCAGCCCTTGCCGGTCTTTCTAGCGCCAATGACGGATAGAAATAAATCGCCACAAACGGCTAAATTTCAATACGTCTCATACCACTTTAATTCCTTTCGTGTTATTCATAAAAGGCGTTGGCGATATATACATGCGTATACGAATTCTTGGACTTGACGTAAATTTACCCACCCAATATTGACTTCCGTTTTCAAATTATGCTCTGGTTTTGCCAAGGACAATTACAGAATTTATCGCATGGCCTGCCCAATGTCAAACAGCCAAAAGAATGTACAAGACCGATTTCTCAAACACTCGATTTTTTTTAGCCTTCGGGTAATTCAAACCCATCTCCATTTCTCCATGTGGTTCGAAAAGTCGGGACAGATAAAAACAGGAAAAGTTTTTAAACCTAATCAACCCAGTTAATTTCATCTCCTGGGCTACCCCATGCGAGACAATCAATCGTCTAAGTATCCAGACGTAAAAGCGTGATCATGCATCTTATTAAACTCAAAATTAATCAGATTACCATAGAGACAGTGATGGCAAGACATTTGGCAAAACATAACTGTCAATCATTCATTTTAACTCTTTCAGAGTCAATGATGGAATCTCATCACTGATAAACTGGTTCTTTGGTGTCTGTAGATGAAATCCTATAGGCTCCTGAGTATTGCCATTCAAATGAAACCTCTTTGACTGCACTTTCACATAGTACTATTTGTTCTTCAGCATTTTACAAAATAAGATTCAGAAATTTTGTTGAATTTTGAGTTTGGCTTCTTTTAGGAATGAAAGGGTTCCTAAAAAAGATCGATTGCCTTTCAGGGTGAGGCAATGTTCACACTAGAACGTTGGAAAACGTATGTAGACTTATCCGTTACCTTTTCCGTCCACACGTACGCGAACGCTCTAAGGGGATAGGACTTCTGTAAAAGAAGAAATCTTCGTCGTGTAGACAGATTAGTTCCCAAGTCTTTTTCCTGCTCTCCTCTAGCTCCTCACTCCTTGAGATTGGTGGACAGCGCATGCGCTTAAGTCTGTATGCGCATGCGTTGAAACATTTCAAAGGATTTGTGTTATGTGACAATAGCCAGGAGCTCATGATGACGTAGCACAAAATTTAAGTAACTCTTCAACGTCCTTCAAATACATCGCTTTTTTTTAACTGTTTGCGTTATTTTATTGAATTGATTAATGTGCTTCCTTCCGTTGAGATCTCTGGAACTTTCGTAAAGCACATTACTTTCATTACGACATTTTTTTGCTGTAAAACATTTGAGAAAGAAGGATGATTGAAGCAATGCAAATTTAAAATTTTGTCAATGAACACAGCTGGTTTTAGGTGTAAATAAAGATTACAGTATAAATGTGCTTTCAAATCAGCTTTGCTAAGTTTACACAGACTATAAAGGAGAAACCAACGAGATTAATCAGTAGGAATTGTTGAAAAAGACATAAACCAAAATGTATTTCGCTGAAGTAATCGCCCATTTTTTATCTTTTATTCTAGCACTGAAAACCAAAAACAACATTAAATTATAATCGACTTGGGATTGTAGCCTGGAGGATTATTTATGAGTCTGTTTTGAAGCAAATATTGACGTTAGTGTATTAGGAATGGGACACACTCAGCTATTCCGCGCAATGGCCCCAAGTCCGTTACAAACGGTGTAGAAACACATTTAGATTGTTAGATCGATGGATCGGTAGATAACTTGATGAATGAATTGGCTGATAAATGGCCGGATCGGTAGATCGATGGCGATGGTTCCATGGATCGATGAATCAATGCTACGTGAACCTTATGGAACCACGATGAAACGAACAATCGCTAGTTCGGTGGAGACGAGAAGTAAAATCGATGGATCGATAGACTGGTAGAATTAACTACAGAATCGTAAAAAGCGCTCGAAAAGTTCTCCTATACTTGATTCAATTAACTTTTATTAGGGAAATTTTTCGAGCGCTTTTACGTGGTCAAGGTTAGGGTAAATCATTAACTTCCGTCACTTTTGTGTTTAATCACCACTTTTATCTCACATTGTGGGTGTCCTAATACGCCATGTACGGGAGGTCTTCCGTACATTGCAATAACGAGTGCACTTAATTTTTTTATTAGGCTTAGTTTAGGCAGCCTTAAAACTGACCTTTGGGTTCTAAACTCTCTGATCTTTTGCGCACAATTCTTCGCATCAGCCTTTGACCATTTTCACGACTTTCTATTTTTTCATAAGCTTTCAAAAAAGGTAGGCCAATATCCGAAATTAAGCGAAGAAAAGGTGGTTATACAAGTGTTTATAAGTGTTCAGTACAAGTACATAATGAGTTTGTTTTTCTGGGAAAAAGAAACCTTTTTAGACGATCAATATAGGATGGCTCCAAACAACACGTTCTTGTGTTTATGCACGTCTCTTCAGATTACCTAATGTCAGGGTGCTAAAATAAAAGTTGAAGTGAAAGTTAACAGAGTTTGAAATTTTCATCAAGTCATTTTTGAACGTCTGGTGTAAAACATTATTAGCGAAGCTACAGCCTGCATTAAAAACACCAGAGATGAAAGATCTTAGTACAAGAAAGATCCTAGCACCATGTTCACTGTCTTCGCTAGGAAGATCCTAGTACTTGGGAAAAACCAGACAAAACGTGGCGGCGGGTCGTTCAGTGGCTAATCATGGCAATAAAGGCCGATTATTTCTTTAGGCGTTACCACCAGCTGATTATTGTAATAATTCTGCTAAAAGGTAGTTATTAACGCCAGTAAAGAAAGTATAAGGGCCCAAATTGTAGTTCTGTTTTTGTCGTCCGCCATTTTTAATTCCTTCTCGAACTACTTTGGCACCCATACGGAACTAAATTTTTGCATATAAACCCAGCGTAAGTTGTTCCGCCTTCTTGGATCTTCCTGTTGTTAGGATCCTTCTTGCTCCATGTAAACAGCCTCATAGAAATCAAGAACGGTTTTATGGGACTTGCTATTTCATATTGACTCAAGTCTATGCGGAAGGCTCCTTCTCCGCCTTCCTCTCCCGCGAAGAACGAATTAATTTAAAGTGAAGCTAACCCATTTCAAATTAACTGTAAGCTTAGACAAAAACTGGCAATCTCAAGCAGCGCGAGCTACAGTTGTGGTAATAGAAAATTACGATATACAATGCTTAAAGAACTAGTACTTTCGGCGGATGCATTATGAGATGCCAAGGAAATTTTGGGGGCTAAGCCTACAACGAAAATTTTGGCGGAAGGCTTATGCCAAATTGAAACAATTTTTAACAACGCAATGTTCAGGAAATAACGTAAAAAAGACAAAGTTGTAAATTTTCGGAATCATGAAGAGTAGAAGTACTAGATAAGAACGTTCTAGCAAAAATAAGGCTAAAATTCCAAGCAAAAAACAAGGAAGAAACTTTACCTCAGTAGTCTTTGCCACGTGAACTTCCTGCTCAAACTCACCGTCGCAGAACTGCTGCGGTGAGCAAGGACAACCTTGTAATGCGCATAAAATCTAACCCTAGATTCCTCATGCTTGTTTAATTGTACTTGTTAATCGTTTAGTGTATCACGTCTCAAATTTCCTAAAAGCAGAAAGGGGATTGGGCACTAATATGCAATTCGACCCACCAACCATTTGGTCTGCCATACTCAAGGATCCACAGAGGCAATACTTGACCTTTCCTGATACGCGCTATTCTAATACATGCGAGCCATTTCTGCAGGTTACATCTAACTGGAAGAGGGTAACCAGTACTTTTGTGTGTAACCAGAAGCAGGGTTACATGCTTCTGGTGTAACTCATTGTTCCAAACTTAAATTACACCCTGAAGGTGGGTTTCCACTGTCGCGTAAATTGCGTTTGCTTACGCTCGTGAATTTCACGTTCGTAAATTAACTAAATGGAGGTAACATATGAAGTGTAGCGTATAAACATTAGGCTGATTTAGCAACAGAACAGGGACGTCAGTTGACGACGGGAAAGCGCGGAAGGGACTAAACATTTCGGAGTTGTGTAGGGAACTAGGGCGAGTTTCAAATTTAAACTTATCGATAAACTGACACCTCCATATAAAAGGTCATGTTGAGACTGGTTATTTTACCAAGTTTGGTTCTCTAAGGTTAAACAGGGATGAAGCTATGACTCTGGAAACATGGTAGAATGCCGTAAAATTCCGAAAATAAGCCCCGGGGCTTATATTTTTCAAAGACCATTTTTGAGGGGCTTATCTATGGAGGGAAATTTGCGTTTCAAAATCAATTGGGCTAGCCTTACAGTCGGAAGTAAATTTACCTTTTTTACTTTGTTTTTCTTTGTATTTGAGGACAATTTTCCAATTACAAGCCCCCAGGGGCTTATATTTGGAGGGGTGATTTAACGGAGGGTTTTTTGCGTTACCGGTTAAGGGGGCTTATATTTGGAGGGGCTTATATAGGGAGGGGCTTATTTTCGGAATTTTACGGTAGCTTCTTAATTTTGTGACAGCGTTCCCCAAAACCATATGGCGTCACATAAACTCTTAATTTTTTTCACGATTTCTGTGATATTCCTGATAATGGGCAAACATAGTGATTTCCGAATTACTTCCTTCCAAGTAGTAGATGCATGAGGAATGTTACAGTTTAATAGAAAAACTAGATTTCAATCTGAACGATCCACCTCCGCACTTGGATCGTTCAGATTTTTGTTCCATTTATCGAAACTGCTTTTCAATCGCAAGAACGTGCTTGTTCATCGATAAACACGTCGGGTCAAGGTCAGTTCAGGCAAACGTTACTGATACTTCTCCGATGTTCTGTGCCGCTAAAGGATTGAAGTATATTAATCTCAAGTTCCAATGTAACTCTAAATCCGTAAATTAGCGAAAACGTTTGCATTCTCAATATACAATGTGTGTGTGTTTAGGGCGCGCTTCTCAGCACTTGAGAATTCGTAATTGTCTTCTGAATTTGTTCGAGTCAAATTCCAGATAATTTCAATGACTTGACGAGTCCCAGTATCAAGCCACCATTAGTTAAAGAGCTACTTTTCCTTCAATTTCTCCGAGAGAAGACGCTTAATTTAGGAGGAAAGAAATGAAAAACGATCCGTTGAAAATGAAAAGAAGATCAGCGCAGCAGGCATACCATGTGGGTCAATCTTATTTTAGATTTTTGTTCCAACTAGCTCAAGTTCAAGTTCAAGTTGATTTATTCACACTTATTCAATTACAATACAACAACAATAAGAAAAAAAAGAAGAAGTAAAAACAGAGCTAACTATACATCGAATTAAACATAACAAAGGAGAAAAGTGTGTAGCGGCCAAAGGAGCCAAGCTTTCGAGTTGGCTACTACCACAGAGCGGTTACAAGTGGGTGGAGGTAATACAGTACACGCGTTTAACTCTCCACCCGCCATCTAGGTCCTGCCATCTCGAGTTCAGCTTGGCATTAAAATCCGAAGAATCTGGATTGTCTAAATCCAAAAACTGTTTGGCTAAAACGAACGTCATCTTAGTATTAGGAAGTTTAAGCAACAACGAAAGCGACGGTTACAAAAATGTCACTTTAAAAATTGTTCAGGCTCGCCCTGTAACGAGAAGCGAAGACTCTAACTATTTCAAGATCGATTAGTAATGTTTATTATAATTGACCCGTTTAGTCTGGGGAAAGTAAACTGCCCTGGCATTTGCTGGCATTGAGTCCAACCTGACCACCAATATGGTGCCACTACGGCAAAGTAGCACTTTTAATCAGGCCACCATTATCTAGTTTTCTTTAGGGCCAGAGCTTGGGGGGGATACTCCCTTACAAGAGGCTAATAGGGATGTGCCGCTGGATGGGGTCGCATTTTCACGACTGGATTGGTTTTGGGGTAAGAAAGGATTCAAAATGGGAATATTCTCGGTTAAAAAGTCAGAAAGTTGTTGTTTATTAAATTTAACGATAAGCTCGCATTGACCGCATTACATTCCGCCGCTTGAAACCACATTGATAAGGTAGATGCATAAATAGAAAGTGAATAAGTTGGGATCGCGAAAATTACATTTTCCAAAAAGTGAGTTACATGGGGTCTATAATTGGCCCAAAAATAGACTATAATGGGGTAGGGGCTCTGAGAGGCCAGCAGCACATACCCAGCAAACATAAACCCAAGTACACCCTCCCGGGGACCAGAGCTAAACCAAAGACCATGCAAATGACTTGTTATCACTAAATTAGTGTTGCAGCATGATACAGAGCACCACGTCAATATAACCACTGACTTAAAGGAATTTATACACAAATCTTCGTTTAGTTGCGTTGATTTAAGTCATTTGGATTGTTTCCCTTCTAGTAAAGTGGCAATTCCAAGATGGTGGCCATTTGCGATTGGGTCAGATCCCCTCATCAAGCGAAGTCATTGCCCCACTCAATATCCTCAGCTTGGCTTCTTCTGACGTGTACAAGCACAGTAATTTTCATCATTTCCATAAGTTCAATAGTCTGAAAATTACGGATGAGACGGTGTTGGGTGAGGGAGGGGGAGTGTAAAAGGGGTGAGTATTCACCTTCTGGCCCTGGAGTCTCATCTTTGCTGATTGTTTACGTTTTTAGAAAATCATTATCGTACGGTCGAGTTTGGGCAAAAGATCTGTACAATTTGAGCTCTATCAGGATATAAACCAGTTATAATTAAGGAAATGTCAACCATGTAAACTTTCTGGGTGCAACAAGTGCATTTTACGACATTGAGTATCTGCTTGTTAGCGAAGACAACAATCGTTCAATAATTTAATTAAAATTAACCACAGGTTTTTGAGTTAATCTTTATTTACAACTGATAAATAGGCACCTAAACATTGACAATTTTATGTACAAAATATTATCTCATTTTATCTAAACTTAAATTAATATTCATTGGTTTCGGACCTATCTCATTAGTCAAGTAGTTTAGCTCTATCAATTTCAGAGTTCTAGATTGCCACTAACTTTTGAGTCTCAGGATGAAATCTTAGACTGGTGTGACTATTTGCCACTTTAGACATGAGAAAGAAAATGGATCCCAAATGCGTCTCGCAGGTGTTTCTGGGATGGTTACTGGGGACGCGCCTTTTTTCACTGTTCCTATAGTAACCGCCCCAGAGGTCTTTGCAAACGTTTACTAAGCCCAGTTTCCATCTCGTTTTTAACAGTGGCGAATGTAAGGCCCACCTACCCATCCCCTAAGCCAACATTAACTCTCACTTCTCACTTAGGGCAAAATGTTGGCTTACGGGAGGGGTAGGTGGGCAGTTTCCCAGAAAAGTATAATTATTCCGAATCTTTTGGCTACTTATTACTGCTGAACAAAAGGAGACCTCATTTTCAGTTCTTTTGCAAAGTACGTTTGGTTACGTTTGAACAATGTTTTTGGCCACACACAGGATTAAAAGCTCTGTCATTGCTCCTGTCTAATTGTTATTAAGCCTATCATTTATTTCCTAAGTCTTACAGAACATAATTTTTATCTCAATAAACACTCGTTTTCAAATAAGTGCTGGTGGCTTGTTCTGTGAAAATAAACAAAACAAAACTCAGATGATGTGTTCACACTTGGGTTAGAAGAAATTTTTGGATGGATAAAACGATAAAAGGCTATCTATTTTTGAATATATGTACTATTGAACGCGATTAATAAAAAGTTTTGATCGATAAAAAAGATATCAATGTATTCATCAATTTTCGATGGTACGTGAATAATTTATGCGGTGTTGAATCATTCTTTCAAATATGTTCAACTTCTTGGCGGATTTCTTTAAAAAGAAATATTAAGTTCAAAATGAAGCCATTTTTTCAAAGTTGCCTATTTACTACGTTGAAGTGATTATTTCTATTTCTTGACACACGAAACACGTTAAAAATAAAATGACATCATAATTTATTGCCCAATCAGCATCGTTCTTTGTTTTATGACTTGATGATCTCAATAGGACGGCATGCTGGGATGACGCAAGGAACAACATACGGGTAAATTGAAATGGGACAGGTCATGTGATTAGGACTGACCAATGGGGCTTGAATGATCCTAAAACCCATTGAAGCCGTGGTAACGCTTGTCTGTGGCAACGTGACGGCGGCTGTCCGCACGCATGGCACCACGGGAATGGCCGTTCCTTCCTTGTTTTCGACTTCCTGTATCTTTACTTCTCCCTCTTTCTTTGTTTCTTGTGTTGTAGAGGGCGCATTGATGTTTGTCTGCGCGGGACCGTTTTGTGGAGCAGGCTCCTTCGATTTTCCAAAAGGCGGTTTCACAAATTTGTAAGCGAGCCTTTGACCATTAACCTACATATAAGAAAAAAAAACATAAGGTATTTACTTAAAAAAAATTCATCCACTTGTTCTAACTATTAGTGCTTAATAATTTCTAAACCTAAAAACTTAAAAACTCCATGCAGATTTTCTCTTCATACATATATTTTTTAAAGACAGGACCAGACAAAGACGGTTATATTTAGAGAGTGACATGATAGTTTAAGCATGCAGAAAAATCTCACATTTTTAACACAAAATTGTCAGAATTCCTTTTCGCAGTCTGTGCTTGGGCAACCTGTGCTCTTGCATTTTATACCTTTCACCCACTAAACTAAGCAGCGAAAGAAACGTCATACTTTGCATACCTTCTTAATTATTCCCTTCTGATAGTAATATCTTAATGCCCGGCTCAGTTTGTCATAATTCATGCCCGGCCTGTGCTTTATGCAGCCCCATCTTCTCGCGACTTCCTCTTGATTTTTCAGTTTGAATTCTCCCGCCTCTCGGTTGATCCAGCAGATCATGTGACCACATTTCTCGTCCAATAGGAGATCGAGCAGAAACTCCCAAAGGTGAACAGCAGTCTTGTTAGGCTTGCGTAGAGTTTCTGGTGAAAGGAAATTTTGTACTCGTCTGAATGCTCTGAATATGTGTTATAATACGTAAATAAACCGCACTTTCTTAGATCATATTTTAGATTTCGTGTGTTTGTAATAAAATATTTTCAGCCTATTTCTATTTACATAGCGTTCACAAGTTTTCTTTTTACTTTTTCACTTTCTAGGAAAATGAAAGATCTCAATTTGCTATTAAAACACTATCAATGTTGATCATTTTTTCAAGGTAAGTTTTTGTTTTCATTTTAATTTCTTTTTTTGAGGATTTCTAATCTTTTTTTTTTTTCAATAAATAAATAAATTCAAACAGGCCACTACATGTACTGGTAGAAATTTGAGTAAAATATCAAATACGTCGATCCTGCCGAGACTTGTTTTGTTTTGTGACCTTTTCTTGAGATTGTAGTTTATACAAGACGAAGTATAGATATTGGCAGACTGCCTTGAAAAACAGAGTCCATTCATTGTTTTAGAAAGAAAATAAACTCACGACGACGTAATCATGAGACCACAATCCTGATAATAAATAGATAAATAAATAAAAATTCATGAACGATTATTTTCTTATTTACATTGGGACATGTTAGTTGTCACGTTAAATCCAATTTTGTATTATCACAAAACTTACCGAAAGACATGATCCTTGTTAATCAGAATTTAGCTAAGATGTGTAGTTGTCTTCTTTTCTGAAAGAAAGGAGGAAAAATGCTCAATGATTGCTATTTTCTTCAGTTTTGTTTAGTCTTACAGTAACCCTATGCCCAATTAAAACTGTATGGTGAATGTGACACGCATGTGACCAGAAAAAACTGTTACATATCTAACCCAAGAAAATCCTTTTTCCGGTATTCCCGAGTGGAGTGTTTTGGAAACCGAGTTTTCTTAGTTCGGACAGTAATCGGAGATTTCCGATCTATCACGGTGAAACCGACAAAAATGTCCCTCGATTTTAACATGGCCACCCACAGAGGATAAACCTCATCCCGTTTTTACACGTAACCCTTTTAGCCTGTTTGTAAGCTAGTACCCTTTCATTTCTGGTTGTCTACTTCTTCGGCGTTCTTTTCCTTCTTTTCAGTTTTATTTTCATTATAAAAAGAAATATCCCGTCAAAAAGTGGAATAAGCAGAAGTTTCATTTCTTTCAGACCGCAGCTTTTCTTTTACCACAAATATTTTATTTTACATCAAAACAAAACCGAAAGAAAGCAATATTTACGTTGCGCGTGGTCTATTGTTTCATCGTTATTCAAACACTCGAGGCCCAAGGCGGAAGGAAGTCTGATGACCTAAGCGACCTACTATGCGGGCAGATTGTTTGTGCGTTGTTCTTTGGCAAAAGGACGCCAGGATTATTCTTTGTGAAAATGTTTTCATCATATGCCATAGTGCAAATTCAGTGCAAAAATTTAAAAAATAATAATAACAAAAATTTATACCGAGTGGAGAGCTTCAAAATGGAAATGAAATAAAAGAAGTTTTAATTAACAACCGCTCTTCTAATTGCTGTTTTGAAATAAGTTGTTTACATTTGAGCCACTAGTCAGAACTGTGGATATAAAAGAACGGTCCTAAATACCTTTCGCAGAAATTAGCGAATAAGTTTTTGTAAAAGGCAAGCAGGCTGATTTTCGTGATCCCCCGCAGTCTTCCCCCGCAGTGTAGTTAAGAACGTTAAAACTTCCGGTGTTGCTCTGAAGTTGTAAACAGTCAGTTCTGCATAGTTTCTACCTCATAAAAGGTTTTAATAAAAACTTAAGGATCATTATTAAAGTACCAGCTCTTATGGTCTTTGAGGTTTTTGAAGAAAAACTGCGATTCAAACCTGCTTCGACCATTGATTAGCGGAAAAAATGCCCTCTGTGTGTTGTTACATTTTCCGGTTCGCTACTCACCCACAATTTCTTCGTTTAGCGGTAGTACAACACAACCTTAAAACAGTTCTTGACTGTGAGAAAAAGCCTAAAAATGTTTGATTCAAGGTTCTACAGAGTTTAAATGCCAGTTTTCCTTTGTCACTCCTCATGTAGCCTATGTTTTCTAGCTTATGCGGCGGTGTATTTGCCATTCCAACTACCGCGATAGAAGATCTACAAAGATTATACAAAGTCGACTTTAAAAAACCTGAATCTTTGACTACAACTCGTAATTCATTAAATCTAGCGAGCTTTTCCTTGTAACTGAGGAGTTTTTTTAAAAATCAAGCCCTGACGACGAACGATCTTCCTTTTCGCCATTTTCATATTTCAAATTTGATAAATGAAATTTCTCGCTCTGCCATCGACGATCGCCAGTGGTAAAAGTAAAGAAATGTATACTAAATTCTTACCTCGAAATTTTATCAGTCTTTTCCCAGTCCAAGCGCGGGTAGCTCAGTAGTATCGATCGACCACGTACAGACTTAAAATGATGTCGTGAACTGTGTTCGCTTTATTTGACCACCTTTAAAACTTCCTGTTTGCTGTCATTAGCGATAAGATATATTCGCGTGTGGGCGGAAGTGGATTGTGCTATTGTTGGTGCAGGAAGCAGTCACGTCACGCATTTAAATTGGTTCCTCGTTCGAAGTATTGAAGCCAATCGACAAAATTAAACTTCAAATCAACCGATGCGTGCTTCGAATATTAAATTTATTTGAATAGTGTCACAGACACTTGTGACTTGCTGAAAACAGCACGAATTTCTTCGTAATATTTAATACAGCAGAAATATAATTTTCTCTGACCCACAAATTTGTTCAAGTTGCTCCGGCTTAAAGATAATCGGCCTGAGTTCGTAGAATCCAGCAGTTCTAAAAAATAGAGAATTAATATATTTTCATCGAACAGTATCCTTAATTATTGATAGCAATAAACAGGAAAAGGGAAGCAATTGAAACTTAGATCTTCAGAAAATGGAATAAAAATTCCCAAAACTTTTCCTTCAAATCGTGGAAGCCTGCTTTATATAAATAGTCACTATTCCTTAAATACATGTCTCTGACCCCGGACGCTCTAAACTAATTAATCGCCAAGAGTTTCCCGGAGAAGTGCAAAAAGGGAAAATACAAATGATTATTCTGTCAAAATAAATAATTCTTATGACCGGCAACGTTTTATATGTCGATGCAGTTGATGGATTCTGTTCTGCTCCAGAGTTCAAGGCCACAAAAACCTGATGTTTAATAAAAGACTGTCGAAAAAACTAGCTTTTTCGCGGATTCACACACAAATTAATAAGTATTTTTTTCCTGAATTTCTTGAAAGTGTCAGAACTAAACAAATAGGAACAACAACAACAGGGGCTAGTCTTTTTAGTGTTAACACTCCCTATTTTTACAGAGTATGAGCTTGCGTTACACAGGTTATCAAATACTTCGTTGTTTGAGCGGCAGTGTGAAAGGTAAATGATAAACCTATCCAATCAAAAAGTCCCACATCTAGTGTTGTTTTAATGGTGTCCAATTTAAAAATTGGGAGAACATGACTTGCTCCCGGGGGCTACTAGCTGGCCCGGGGGGGGTACTCCCTAATATGGGCTATATAGGTATGTGCGGCCCCAAAGGGTAGGGTTTTTCAGCCGTTTTGGTCATAAATTGGGTATCGATTTTGGCTATTTTGCCGCCATTTTGGTCATAAATAGGGTAACGATTTTTGCACTGTAGTCTTGAATGCACTTTTTTAGAAGAAGCTACTTCCTTATCATGTCCCCCTCCTTCCATCCGCGCTTTGCCTTCCTCTCCACCGGGTGCTTTGTAGGCTAGAAAATACAAGCAAAAAAAGCCCTTCACAAAATAGGGTATCAAATTTTTGGTTAGGTCATAAATAGGGTAGGGAAAATCGCAGATTTTGGTCATAAATAGGGTAAGGGTTTTGGGAAGCGGGCCGCACACCCCTACCCAATTTTTCTGCGAGTACCCCCCGGGCTAGCTGGTACACCCTATAATGTCCTATACAAGAATGCTCCGCCCGAAACGGGTACCTTTTTCAAGCTTCAGTTACCTGAAAGGGTAGGGATTTAACGAGTTGAAGTATATGAAAGGGTAGGAAAATCTGTCATTTGGGTCTGTGAAGAGACCTACGAAGGGCTAACAGATGCATTTTATGGCTGTCTATAAAAAATACAAGAGAGCTTCCTGGTTAATTGAGCTATTCATAGCTTTAATTAAGACAGTGTATTTACAGCAGTTAAAAGGGCTTCAGCGTTCTAAACGAGGTATGTGAAATTAATCGGTACCATTGGTCAATGGAGGGTACTAAGAAAGGAGTACCCTTTCTGTAAAAGGGGTAAAGCTGTTGGACATGGACAGTCCCGGTAAAAAACTTCGTTAAGTTCCTGCAACCCCCCCTCCCCCCTCGCCCTCCCCATCCCGGCACTTCCTGATATGATCTCCTGAACGCTTTTGGTGATATGAAAGGGAAACCGTTAGCCTGCGTAGCAGGCGCTTGGAAGTAGTGGGTACAAGAAAAAACGGGCGCATGGGAAGGAGGCACGCGCGCGCCCGTTCTCTCTTTCGCCCACTACTTCCAAGCGCCTTCTACGCAGGCTAGGAAACCGTGAGCACTAGAATCACAGAATCAGAAAATGATAGCTTTCAGTTTGCGCCCTTACGGATCTCTATTTCAGTATTACCTTCGTTACATAACGCCATGTTATACCTCTCTCTTCCGTTTAACCTAGCGTCCGGCTGCCTGATTTGTGCCTGGAAGTTTGATCTCGTATACGTGCTATTAGTTTTTCCTAGATTTTCTTGGAGATCCCGGGGTGGTTATGTAACCGGATTTTTTCGAATCTTTGGATTTCTGAAATGCCCTTGACTCGTTATCTTTCCGGAAAAGCTGTTGCTGAAAAAAATCACGAAGGCATTTATTTTAAAGTAATAATGTCAACAAAGGGGTCTGTATTCATCTGTTTACACTTGTTTGTTCAATAATTACCCTCACTATAGAAGGTAAAATATTAATTACAGTGAACCAAGCTCCCGAATTCAATTTGCAAAGACGTCGGTCATCAGTGGGAGCTAACCGGTGTACAGACGACCCCGCTCCCCTCAAAAAACGACAAAAAAAAACTGTAGTGGGGAACGCGGATATGCCTGTAGGGGTATGAATGAAAACGAAGCCGTGGAATGCGTGGAGTGCAATAGACGTGACACTGCTCAAATTGTTGGCGAGTGAACACTGTACTAGGAAGTAAACTTGATACACTTTGTACGTCTTGCAGAGTATATTATGAACTGAAACAGATAAAAACAAAGATAAAAGCAAGCCAAAACAACAACAACTACTACAAACAAATTGCTCGCAACTGATATTGGACAATGCACGTGCAGCTAGGCAATGCGGATTTCAGTTTTGAATTGCTACCGAGAGTAAATGCATACTCGCTGTCAACCGACTTCGTCATGTTCCCGTGTCGCTTAAGGCTCTTAGTGTGTTCTGATTGGTTTAATCAAAGTTCGATCTATGCATATTTGTGACGAGGGACGTTCTTGATGTCCTACCTCAGTTCTATATGAAGATTTTATAATACATTACAATTGGTACACATTTGGAGAGGTGGAATAAATTCCTACAAAATAGACAGCACCGAGACAGCCGGCAGTTTCTTCTGAATCCGGGCGAAGAGAACTCTATTCGCGGTGAAACCTCCATTTTGTCTCCTCTCTACGTCTCTCGATTCTTCGTTCGTTGTGAATGTTATGCTGTGAATGATACTTCCTTAGTCACGCTCAAACGAAACCCGCGCGTGCTTGGTGGTTTTGAGCGCGGGAAAATCTCATGTTTTGTTATGTTCCGGCAGAATTGGCTACTGCATCCGGTCGGAATATAATCTGACGGTCCGGATTTTTCCCGTTCTTTATCTCAGTTTCCAATGTTTATCAAACTTTTAGTTTTGAAAACATTTTACTTTGAAGAATGACATAAATTTGAACCACGAGCTGCTGTCTATGTGTGATCATAGGGCTGATAACCTTCTTGCGATGCACCCCCCCCCCACCCTTTACCCCGTATCATGCCCAAAGTAGGCTGTTCTGCTGAAGGCTTTAGTTACGATCAGGGGTTAAATTCATTAAAGGCCTCTTAAGGCTCGATTATTAGAAATACGAGGTTAAGAATAAAATATAAATACAAACTTTAGCCATAAGGTACAACCCAGAGCGAGTCGACCCCATCAGTATTTATACTCATGTTTTTTTTGCCCGGGGGTCCCAGCTCGATATTACAGAATTTCCAAGTTCTATTCTTGTGCTCTTCAAATCTTGCCGTAAACTTGGTTTCATCGCTGAAAATATCCTAATAGGGTCTTAGCTCTGAACAGTTTCGGTTAACTTTTCAGTTTCAGTATTTCAAGTCCGCTTTCTCGGTAAAAAAAAGCTCTGAAAGTCAGCGGGAAATTTACCGGGAATCGTGATCATGTTGTTCCGTGAAAAACGTGCCCAGCAAAAGTCTATTTAAAAACAAGCAACAATCTTGTATCAGGCGGAAAATATCTGTTTTCCTTTTTATTACTTCAACTAATCACTATCACACCATCAATTGGTCAACTCAAGTTAACCTGGTGTTCCTGGTGGACGTTTTCCGTCACTAGATGTCAGCAATAACCGCTTCTTGCATTTTCACTATCAGAACTTTCGATCGTAACCGTGAAATTTCAAAACGTTAGCAACTTAAAAACACCCAGCTTAGGTCGGCATGACAATTTGTTCGCTATCAAATTAGTGTAACCATGCTGATGAGTTAACGCTTTAGTGGGTCATTAGTGCAAAGTAAAAACTTCCTGTACTTGAAACTTAAGCTTCGTGCGCTATGGACCATGAGGTTACTGAAATTATCGTTTCACGCATTTAACCAAAAGCTAAGCATTCAGTTAACAAGGCCAGGGCTTGTTGGGTTGATTTCTAACAAAACTTTGATTTGTGGGGAGTGAATTAATTCTTTTAAGTCTTCTGAGTTCATACTGTCCCTTTTAAGGTAAATTGGACAAGCAGAACGGGTTCCGAGAGCGCTGCGCGCTGAGGCGTAATCGTTTCTTCCAAAACGTGTAAAAGATCAAAAGATTCTGTGTGATTTCCAGAGTACGACTTTGTGAACTGCATTAAAATCTTTGCTAGTATTCCAGGCGTAGTTAATCGATGGAAATCGTTATCGGAAATCAATTGATCTAATCCGCCGATCAGCTATCGATTGATATCGGAAATCGATAGAAATCGAATTCACGGAAAAAATAATTTATCGATCATCACCGATTAACAAAAATCGATCGGTAGTAATCGATATAACAATAACAAACAATGATCTTGAGGAGTATAAAGTGCAGATATTCGGAACGTGACGATACTATTAAATTCAGGAACTTTATAAGCTGCATCGCAGACAGTCTAAATCCCCGACTATATCGAGTCCTCTCTGATCTACTGTATTTATTCGGCCATAAGCCGAGCGATTTTTACACAAATCAAAGCTTAAGTTAAGTGAAATTTGAGCCTAAGACGGGGTCTCGGCCTATACCCGAGAGTTTTTGAAAAAGAAAAAATCTTTTTCAGTGCATTGAAACTCTACTAAATGGGAATGTTCACTTATAAGGGACCTGTCAATACGACTTAAAAGAGGAAAAGGTATCTTACTTAGAAGGTGGCTTCACAATACTCGGCAAGTGGTGTAAAATTTATGAGGTTAGAAGCCCGGGTTTTAAGATTGACCACTGATGATAGACCACGAAAATGGTTGTCAATGGTTGGCCTCCCATGCAGTCGTTCTTTTGGCTCGTCAGGCAATCCTCCCCGACGTAGAGAACGGAACGAATCCCTTTAAGAAAGTCCACATAGAAAGCTAGTCAGTGGACAATAGTCCGAGATTCACCGATGTGCCAATAGGCCGAGACGCAAGGAATCTCCCAAAACCAAACTCGCCTGGTCCGCTGGCCATGCCGTTCTTAGCCTGCTTAGCGGGTTATTCTCTCTCGACGGGTTTTAAGAAGGAGGAATATACATGTGTACTTACATTCTGCGTTCCGTGCAACCAGCTCGTGATAATAGGAAGATAAGCTAAGAGAGACGGATGAGAAGCGTAGTGAAGAGGAAAGAAAGGAGAGATGACAGCGAGCGAGAACGTGATAGGCGCGCGCCCTACATCTACAACTTTAATCTATAACGGTTTCCCATTACTGATGTTTACATAAATATATATATACCGTCTTTCTGCTCACGTGGGTTTTAAGGGGGAAAGGAATGGGTAGCACGTTAGAGGCGCGCGAGAACGTCGTAGACGCGTGCCCTCTTTCTTTGTGCGCTCATCGCCCGCGTTGATTTTTTATTTCAATTTTGCCCCTCCCTTTCTCATCAAAACGCCTTACACGCGCGTAGGCTAAGAGAAGCTTTGCAATAAACGGGATAGCTTCGCGTGTCTCCCTCGCGCGCTCGTTAAACAGGAAGTCGGTGACCTGCAAAACAAATTAGTTGATTGATGACTATTTAATAGTCTGAATAGTCAGGTGAAAGGTTGACAAATTTTTCCGGGAAAGTTCTTTTATCTACTGACAGCCAAGTGAGTTACCTAATTTAACTGTCCTTGTCAAGGAATACTGAATATTAAAAGTTGCTGCTTTCAACTTTATGCCCAACCCATTGATCGCTTTTTCCACTCTCTAAATGACTTCCTCTTCTCTCACGATCAAGTCAAATCAAAGATCGTGTCCGATCGGCGTGCACTGCATCTGATCGACGGTTAATCCACAAGTAGTTTAAGTAGCCATTGCCGGAAGTAATTACACTGTGCAAATCAAGTGATCCTGTAGTATATATCGATCATTCATTCTAAAAAATGTTTGTTAATGTAGCAAGGGCCAATGTACAAAACAAAGGTGCAGAATATGATCTCGGATAGATATCATTATGAGAGTCAGCGAAATTTTTTTCTGTAAACATACATTGAAAAAGCCAAGATGACTGTACTCTATGATTCCAAACCAACTAAAATGATTTATGACATAAGGTGGTAGTTTGCTACTTTGCAAAGTATATTCTAGTTCCTGTGAAGGAATAAAAATACATACAGTCGACTTCCGGCATCTCGAACCCTCTATAATTCGAACCTCAACTCGAAGCAATTTTCATTTCCCTTCAGATAGTTTTCTATATAATTTTACCCTCGATAACTCGAACTCCCGATCACTCGAACTTTTCCCTAATTTCCCTTGAATGTTCGAATTATCGGGAGTCGACTGTATAGCGCGATCAACAAGAGCATCAAGGCTCTGTATAAAGGGATCTCGACCGGGGATCTCGATAAGTTTCGCAATGTGGGGCCTCTTCATTTTTGATCCCCAATAACGAGAGGGATTGGTTCGAGCCACATCAGCTAAATCCAATATGGCGGCCCACTCCCTCGGTAGGGTTATTCAATCCTCTTTGAAAATCGTATCAAAACAAACCTAGAATGGCTGAAAATATTCCCAGTTCGAGCGGACAGAGTGAACTAGTTTATTGTGCACTTCACCGTTAAGTGTTTTCGACATGTCGCGAGGGCTTGATGAAAGATCAAAGAAATTTATCGATGCTGTTCAAGCTGATCTCCGAGCTTTGTCGAACGAAACAAGGCGAAAATTCCAGCCAGTCAAAGAGGTACAACATCTGTTTAATGCTTTGTAAAAGCCTTCAATTTGTTAAGACAATGTGTGGTTTAAAATCGTAGTATTAGAAAAAAAACTGGCAAATTAACAAATTTAAGCTTATAAAAGTTGCAATTATTTTTGTGTTAATTTTTTCAACTTAATACTCCCTTTTATTTGTAAACTTCTATTTTTTGTCTGTTAATTTCTTTAAAAAATCTTTTTATTCATTTTTCTTTTCAGGCCGCCGAAGCCGGGATTTTACGTCTCAGAACTATTAGTGCTGCAAAGTCAAGAAATGTTAAAATCACCAAAGGTACAACTGCATAATATTTTAGAAGCTGATAGACGGAAATCCAGAAGTCACCTGTTGCCTAAAGAAACTCCCAAAATGTCAATGTATATATTTATCAATAGGCTAACTTTCAACGAATTTATAATGAACAGCACTCCATGATTTTAAAGAGCTTGCGACTATGTTTATATTTGATTTTGCAAGGTGAAATATGTAAATGTAAATGTAAAGAGCAGATCAAGAAATTTATTTACAGGGTTTGCACGCACCTTGATTGTCCTTGAAAGTCCTTGAATTTGAGATTAAAAATTCAAGGCCTTGAAAGTCCTTGAAAATTGCAGTCGGTGCTGGAAAGTCCTTGAATTTCAGTGCTAACTTTATCTAACCCAAAGGAAAAGGAGCAAACACAGATGACATTCAGGTTAAAATTGCTCATGTTGTGGAGAAACTAAAAAAGACATAGACACTAGACTCTTTTTTGCGCCGAATGGTGTCCTTAATTAATGGAAGTGTGTCCTTGAAAGTCCTTGAAAAGTCCTTGAATTTTTTGCTCAAAAAAGGGTACAAACCTTGTATAATTTTAATACTTGAATGGGGGAGTCTAAAATGTGGACTGCAGACTGACTATGGACTATTGTTTTTAGGGTTAGAAAATAATGGGACTATTGTTACATTCTCATTTGCATGGTGAAAACAATAGTCTTCAGTCTGTATTTACACTGACTGTACCACAGTATTTAAATGATGACCATCACACCATGCATTCCTATAGTCAATGGTTCCACTAATCCTATTTCCCCGGGCTTATCAATTACTGTACACCCTTTATTGCACTATTTTTATCTTACAATTGTGGAGGCAGGATATTGGCCATTCAGTTAGAGCACTGGACATTTAAAATCTGTAGGCCCCAAGTTCAAGTCCCCCCCTTCGACCCCTAGCTGGATAATTTTTGTTCTTAGTAGTCCTGAGTTCAAATACTTTAGCCAACTGTTTTGGTTGGAAACAGAAGACATGGTTTTATATACTGATTTTTTTCAAGGCTTTAAATGTTTTTCAATGGTACAAAAATTACAGTGGGCAGAATTTGCTCTTCAAGCATTTGTTGAGTGAGTACCGCTCATGGAAAAAGGCTGTAATTTGGGTTATTAAACTGTCTACAATATAATGGAGATAAATTCTTGTTATAATCATATGAATAAGGATTGCGACCTGACTTTCGCTTATACAGAATGTCGGGTCTTTTGCGTATTAGTAGGCAAATTTAATTCAGGTAAAAATTTTGTAACCTACAGTGTAGGTTGTTTATCAATTTCTTATCTCACCTAGCCCTAATTCATGAATAATTTGGACTAAGAGACGAGGAAATTTGAGAATCGTCCTAGGTTCTTAAAGATGTCAATCTGAGTTGTTTTCTTTTGACCTATAACATAAACAGTTTGTAGATTTTTACCGCGGCAGGATTAGCTCAGTTGGTAGAGCGCTTGACTGCAGAGCGTGAGGTTGCGGGTTCGATTCCCGGGGTCAGACCAATACTCAGGGTCTTAAAATAACTGAGAAATAATGGTACTAACTTTGCCCAGCAAATGGCTAGATCTTCGCATGGCTCAGATGACCAAGTAAAATGGCAGTCTCCTCTCCAGTAGGAGACGTTAATATAGTGTCCCCAATTAGCACTTCCGTGCTAAATACATTGACACTCAAATAAAGTGCATTTTTTTAAAAATATTTTTGGTTACAATTATCATGTTAGTAAAGTCTAACCTTGTTAAAAAGCTGTGAAAACCAATATGCACTGCATTGTTGAGGGGAGGGTGTGGCACTAATTTAGGATGGTGCTTATTCAAGTTTAATATTATTATACACATCGTGATTCCTTTATTTTATTGCATATTTAGTTGTTTCAGAAGAAAATGAGATAGTCCAGCCTTTCCTACTTGGTTGTGATACCAAAAGTCTTCGTGTGGTGCAGATCTCCCTGACGGCACTGCAGAGGCTTATTACCAATGAAGCTCTGTCTGAGGTATGCATTA